ATCTATCTATCTATCTATCTATCTATCTATCTATCTATCTATCTATCTATCTATCTATCTATCTATCATCTATCATGTCTGAGGGCTAGAGAGGTAATGGTGTCATTTTGATTTTGTCCAGCAGAGGGCGATAATGACACGTTCTTGATGCGAACCCCCCGAGGTAAATTTTCAAAGAAGAAAAGCCCCCCTCCCTGGCAGCCTTGTTATTAACCTCCACTCGGGGTCATCCAGGCTGTTTGGTGTGGTGAAAATGTCTCCGCTGCTGCTCAGGGCCTTCGTGAACGAGCGGCTCACCGCTGTGGTCGCAGAAATCTTGGAGGTTTTCGAAGGAGCCATCGCTAAATACGAAGAAGAAGCGTCCAGCTCCAAGCAGGAGATCGATCGGCTGCGCAGTTTGCTGCTGGAGAAGCAGAAGAAGACAGGTGTGTTCCTAGCTGCTCATCTACAGGAGCTAAGGAACACAAGCAGCCTGGTTAGCCCACATTCCCTGGATCCATTCTACCAGAAACCAGCAGCGATGTTTACTTTGGAAGTACTTTGTTTCAGTCCTCAATTCGAATAGAATAGAATAGAATAGCATAGAAAAGAAAAGAAAATCCCTTTATTGTCCCATAATGGGGAAATACATTCTGTTGTTTACAGCAGCAAAAAGATGATAGAAAAAATTTTAACACAAATATGGACCTTAGAGAAATGTGTAAGAATAACATAATAGTGAAGAGTTAAAAGATAAACAATAAAATACTGTAAACTGTTTTAACAATGTAAAAACTGTGCACCTGGAGAATAAATAACCAATATAAAGCTATGGACATTCTTAGAGTAATGGATAGTTGAAAATAGTAGATACAATAAAGATGTGCAAAATGACAACAGCAGGTTATTTAACTGGTTAAGGTAGAAACTGTGCAAAGTCAGCAAGAATGTAACAACTTATTGAGGTTGTTGGGAACAGTGGTGGTTATAGAGTCTTACAGCTCCTGGGAGGAAGGATCTGCGTTAACGCTCCCTGGTGCATTTAGGGTGCAGCAGTCCGTAACTGAAGGAGCTCTCCAGTTCTGCAACAGCTTCATGCATGGGGTGGGAGACATTATCCAACAGAGTCCAGAGGGCATCCAAGCACTATATATATATATATATATATATAGATATATAAAAACTTCCTCACCTATCGTGGGTGGTCTTCTCCCCTTTTTCCGTCAAGCTCGGGTCCTCTACCACAGGCGTCCTTAACCTCGGTTCTCGAGGCTCACTGTCCTGCAGGTTTTAGAGGTTTCCCTGCTTTAGCACAGCTCATTATAATGATTGTAGTAGACCAAAAGCCTGTTAAGGACCGCGGGCCTCTAGGACCGAGGTTGGGGTTGCCTGCTCTACCAGAGGCCTGGGAGCTTGAGGGTTCTGCTCAGTATCTTTGCTGTTCCTAGAACTGCATTCTGCTGAACCAAGATGTCTGATGTATTTGCAGAAGTCTGCTGTAACCACTCCTCCAGTTTGGGGGTCACTGCCCCGAGGGCCCCAATGACCACGAGTAAAACTGATGCCTTGACCTGATGTTGCAGTAACTTGGTATTGCTATGGCAACCACTACGGCTTTCCTCTGCTTTTTGTCCACCAACACAATTTCCAGTTGGTTTGCCATTACCATTCGGTCCGTCTGTATCTGGAAGTCCCACAGGATCTTGGCTTGATCATTCTCTACCATCTTTGGAGGAGTTTTCCACTTTGATCTTAGGGTTTCCAGCCCATACTCTGCACAGATGTTTCTGTACACTATTCCAGCCACTTGGTTATGGCGCTCCATGTAAGCTTTCCCTGCCAGCATCTTGCACCCTTCAGTTAGTTATGTGCTGGATTTTCTCAGGGCCTCTTTGCACAGTCTGCACCCTGGGTCTTGTCTGGTGTGGTAGGTCACGTTTAGTTTACTCTATAATGGTACCAGGCCTGTTTTTTTGTTTATTTATTCTTTTTTTAGCTCATCAAAAATTAATAACAGAACAGAGCGGGAAACAACAACTGTTTACATACAAACCGGGATTTGCTGAGGAAATGGATCGGTAACATCTGAGCAAATAAACTAGAAATGTCATAAATTGTTATGATTGAGACAGTCCACTGGCTTCTATTACTGTTCTGTCTTTGTCTGGACTCTAATTCATGGAGTTCAGGTGAAACTCTCCTATTATGTGCCTTACATAAGCATTATTACACTTAATCCTTTTTATATGGAAGAGAGGCAAAGATTCCTACAAGGCCTTAAGAAGAAGAACCGTTTTCATTTTGCTTTAAGCCATAACAGAAAGGTGGAGGAAGAGGCTCTGGCTAGATGAGGATAAAGTGTGACTCTGTAGCCTTTGCTTTAGCAGTAACACACAAGCTTAGTAACTGTGCTGTTTAGTTTCCTATTAAAGAATCAATACACTGAAATGATGAAATGTGGAGAACACAAAGGGGTGTGAATATTTTTGGAAGGTGCTTTATGTTACCAAGAAATCATCAACAGATATTAACAAACTGTTCATTGATTTTTCTCTATTTTCTTCTATAATAACATGATTATGTGGACTTGAACATAAATAAATAAATCACCTTTTCTTCTTTCAGACTCACCTCAGCCGTCTACCTGTGGAGACAAATCTCCATGTGAGCAGGAGGCGAGGCTCCATCAGGAAACGGGCTGGAATCCAGAGCTGCAGCACATCAAGGAGGAAGCTCACGAGCTCTGGGCTGTCGATCAGGAGGAGCACAAACAGGCAGGGATAGATTCGGATGCTTTAAATCACCTTCATGTGTCTGTCGAGGAAGAGCGAGAGCAGGAAGATACAAAACCGCCTGGGCAACATTGGACTCAAAGCTCCGAACCAGATGGGTTTCAGGATGTCCAGGAACTTAAAGCCACAGAGGTCAAAACAACTTTTCTCTCAGCCCCATCATTCCAAGATGAAGCTGCTGCCATTTTCTCCACTGAGCAAACGCAGCTGGGTCAATCTAGTTTTACCTTTTCTAAAGAATCCACAGATTCGTCCCGTTTGAACTCTCCTGGAGCCGACTACCAGTGCTCTCTGTGTTCAGAGTCCTTTCCCTCCAGTCACCTCCTGATGAGCCACGCTTTCCAAACTCACTCCAGGGACGTCGGAGTCTTGTGCACCGTTTGCGGAGGAACCTTCGAGTCCGCAGAGAGTCTCGACGTGCACCTAAGATCTCACGAGAAGTCAAAGTGCTGCCCCATATGTGGAAAGCTCTTCAAAAGTACAACCTCCCTGAGGGAGCACATGGAGGCCCACGCGGGACTGAAGCTGCACCGCTGCCACGTCTGCGGCAAAGAGTGCAGACGCAAGGGGGATCTGAGAATCCACTTGAGGATCCACACGGGCGAGAAACCCTTCTGCTGCTCGCTGTGCTGTAAGAGTTTCACCCACAGCGGGCATCTGAAGAAGCACATTAGAAGCCACACCGGAGAGAGACCGCACAGATGCGGCGTCTGTGGGAGGAGCTTCCTGCAGAGCGCACACCTGAAATCCCACCTGAGTACCCATGCTCAGAAAAAGTGACCAGCTCATATTTTATTCATTTCACTTTAAAAAAAAAATCAGACATGATGTTTATATTTTATGCTGCTGTGTTTCTACAGAAAGTTGCTAAAAGATGTATTTTTATTTACAGTTTGTTGGTTTTGAAAAAAAATCCTCAAAAAACTCATCGGATCAAAAAACATTTCAGTTTCACAATTTAATAGAGAACAAAAGAAAAGTTGGTTACATAATCACCTCCGGCCATTAATGGAATGAAAAGTACTGAGAGATAAACAATAAATACCTTATTTTATTATATTATTATTTAAAAAGATACTGGAGGTGATAGAAGAAAGGGCTAGATGTAGAGTTGTTCTTATTCTGATACCAGTATGGGAAATGTTTCTGCAATCCGTATTGGAGTCCAGAAACCAATCCATTTCCATGTTATTTAAAATAGGAAATAAAATAGAAATCATTTTTTTTTTTGGTTCAGTTCTGACACAGTTCTTCTTCTCTACTCTTAATACCTTCAGACGGGTGAAGAGCCGATCACCTGTCAGAGATGGAGCTTGCTGCTACTTCTGCTGCTGCTGTGTTCTTTTTTTTTTTATACTCTTGTAATTTAAAAATAAATGGTATCCGAACATCTCTAGTTAGATGCACTAAAAATATTAATACCGTACAAAAAAAGTTTTCCAAACAGAAGGTTAGCAAACCCAATATAATGCCAGATTATCAAAAAAAAAAAACCCAATACTGGTAAAGATCACGAGAAAACAGGGAGCGCGATAATCAGTGTCCTCATAAAGTAAGAGACGAGTTTCTCTCTCTGATACAAACACGTTTCTATACATTTTTTTCTTTTTACTCTTCCAGTCAAACTAACCCTATTAAATTAAAGATAACCTGAGGAAAATCAAACTGTTTCCTTAAAGGGGAGGTGACTGCAGAAATCAAAGTGGCCCAACGTTAAAATGTGATTCTATTCTCTTCTAAACTGATGCGTTGATGTTTTGCTCCACTCTTCTAGGCAGAACTGTAATAATTCTGAGCCTTCGGTTTCAGCATCAACATGTTTCAGGTCAGGCAAGTAGTTATTTCATGCTATTTTTAATGAGTGAAATAAATAAATCTATTATTTAATGAATTTAATTTGTCATTTTAAATGTATTTTTTTATTATTATTTAAGGGGGAATTTAAATGTTTTTATACACTTAACATTCGAAATCACCCTATAAATAAATATTACATCTACTTATTTCATATTTAGTTTAGCCCTGCTTTTTTTTTTTTTTGTCTGGCTCCAAACTTCCAGTCGGTACACTCCCCCTTTTCTACTGAGCAGATTTTCTGGTTCTAACAGTTACAGCAAACAAACTGGATTGTGAAGAAGAGAAGAAAAAAAGTGTTTTTTTTTTTATTTAACATTACTGGAAGTAATTAAGGGTGGGTGTGGCTTGTGAAATCAAACTCTTGCTTTCCAAACAATGTGAGTATTCACAGTACGTTGGATGTAACTTGATGCATGACTGCTTTGTTACGTAGGACCAAACTGGATCCCTTTGTTTGCCCCTGAAAAATTAAATCATTTCTTTGCAAAAAAATAAAGTTTGTTTGATCTGAGACATTTCAAGCGGAAACAGTACAGATCTTTAATATTAACACTTTCCTACAGCCCTGTACTTGGTACCTTCCACTGTGTTCTGCTTTCCATGGAAACATTTTGTTGTGTTACTGCTAAAGTTGAACAGGAAGCAGTTTTATTTTATTTAGTAACTTTTAAAATTCAGCAGTTTGACTAAATCAGGGGGGTATCTATACTGTGTTCCTTTTTATTGTTTCCTGTGTTTTGTTACAGGTTTGCAGAACAATAAACTGCAATTATTACCAGAGCAATTCTTTTGTGTGTTTTCAACTAAACAGAACTGCAGCAGATGATGCCTGCTACAGTTTAAGCTTTTCATATTCTGAAAATAAAGTTAAATATTCTGAAGGATTTAAAAAGCAAAAGGTTTTCACTGATATATTTTATTTTGATCTTATTTTTAAGCAACTTTCAGGGCATCACAGGTGTGTATAGCTTTTAGATGCACATTTAAAAGGCTGTTGATCCTTCAGTTCACTGTGCAAGATTTATACATCAAGAATTTAATTATTACTATTTTTACCTTGCTTTATTTCTAATATTAAAGAAATATGTTAGCTTCCTGTAGAAATGCCCCTGATAATAGCCTGCTTTTCCATAGGATTGAGGTTTAGAGACTTATTCCATAAGTGCTGCAGTATGATTTGCAATAATATATGTAGCATGCATGTATATTCTCTATTTGAAAACCAAACTCAAAGTGGAAAGTTTTTATTTTTAGTAGGATATTCATTTATCTCATATTGTGATTTTGCAATGATGTGTTGCTCTAGTTAGGGATCAACATCCTGATAAAAGACTAACTCAGAATCGCTCTGCATCATCTATCTTCCACTGTGCTTTTTCATCACATATAAATTTTAATACGGAAAGTTCAGTTTTGTTCTTATTTAATCAAATCATACATTAAGCCCCATACATTAAAAAAATAAATCTGAGACCTTTAGATGGTGTCTAATAGCCGCGAGGGAGTTTTGACCCTGTCTGAGCAGCTGAGTTGTTTATTAAAATAAATGTTTGCTTTTATTTTTGACTAAATAGCTGGGCTAAAAATAATTGTTCATGTTCTTTCGTTATCATTAAAAAATATTCTTTATAATTATTATTATTATTTTTTTTGACTAAGTTTGCTCAAGTTAAAGACTGGTTATATAAAAGATTTTAAATGTGGGATTATGCTCCAGTGTTCCAGTTAAAGATTCATTTAAAGGGTTGCTTTTAAACCAATCTTCAGTAGGTATAGACATAATAATCACTAAAATTGTCTAAGTTTTAGAATTTTTTAATTTTTTTTATATTTTACTCAATTCATCTCCTCATGGACACCTTCACCTTTTGGGTACTTAATAACTACATAAACATATTTTGATTTTCATTACAGGCTAGGGTTTTATGGAGTACTTTTTATTTATTTTTGTCTAAAATTGAAAAAATAAAATCCTTAAAAACTTTCCTTTAAAAACTTTGCTTTTATAAGTGAATTTCCCGGCAAACACATACATTTGAATACAAATATTTAGAAGGTTGAACTTTTTTCAGATACTTTTATCTGTATTTATTCATATAAAATAATTAATGCCTAATTTCTAAATTATTGAAAAAAAAAGTTTGATTGGTACCATTTTACATGAAAGAGGTAGTAGCATATACAACCTTAAATGCCTTTAAAATATTTATATATTTAAAAGTAAAAATACTTTTTCTAAAAGCTAAAAAAGATGTACGCCACCACTAGAGGGCGTTGTTGGGAGCTTTAAGTTTTTAGCAGATTTCACTGAATAACTTTTCTCTTTCTGGTGTTGTTGACTTTATCTATAGTTTCAAGCTGCTCAAATGTTTTATAACTAAACTCATCAAATTGTCCAGATTTTAAGAAGTTTATCTTTGCTGCTAATATAAATGATCAGGTTTGTGACTACAGCTTAATAGTAATCAGCTTTTGGAAGACCTGCTCATGACTTTGGTCATGGAAACAGCTTTGGCTGATTCCATGTCGTCTGAGAATCCCAGCCTGTTGAATTAGGAACTTATGTTTTTGGCAAACTGCTTCGGACCGCTCAGATTTTTAGAAAGGATAGCTTAAGAGCTGGCTGGCCCACTATGACCCTCAGGCCTAAAACTAAACACCCCTAATCTGGTTACACAAGCTTCCCCTCAGACACAAAAGCACCAGGAATTGACCCATAAATCTTTTTTCATTTTCGCACATGGTGGAGGTTCTAATCAGCTCATTTGTTTACATCTGATTTTATCATTTTGATTGTGTAAATGAGAGCAAACTTCTACATTTCTTCAAAATAAAAAATAAAAACAGGTTAGGAGGTTAATCTGCTGTGATTTGAAGTATTTGAAACTCACTGAAGGGATTTTCTTTATGTGGGTCAGGCTGTGTGTCATAGTTAAACACATCAAGAGGAAAAAAAAGATTTGGGTTGGCAGATTTTCTTTATGCATCTGTGTGCGTGGGGGGTGGTGTGAAAATTAACATTTTGCAGCCCACAGAGAATATGGCTGGAACTGTCCGACTTCAGGAATTCCAAAACCCCTCCGGTTGTATAACTGGGTCAGTGAGGTATTCAACAACCCACCCAACACTGCCTCTGCTCGGGTTCGATGGAGTCAGGGGTATTTGAGGTGGAATGTCAGAGTGGATGGAGGGGAACTAGGCTCTGCTTCGCATCAGGATCCGACTCAAGGTTTTTAAAAATGTGGAGGAGAATAATAAACATCTGGTGGACAGAGAAGACAAACACACAGAGGAGTCAAGTGATGGAAAAACTTTTGCTTCACACATCTGTGTGAGAGTGGGAGTGAATGAGAGGAGATGCTGGTGGACTAACAGGAATGCAGATTTATTTTGGGTTGTTGTTGTTTTCAAAGTCTGTTACATATAACACATCAAGTAGCCTTAAAGGCATTTTATCTTATAAAGATAAAAAATGAATATCCAGATCCTGCTGCTGATCCAAGCATGCATTAATCACATTCTGAACCTTTGCAGAAGAAAGGCTTTTAAATGAAATTATTGAGTGATGTTGCTCTATGTTACATCTGATGGACACATCATCCAAATCATCACCTCTAAACTGTCTCCTGTCTTGCACTAAATCCTGTTTACCACATAGAAAGAGATTTAAGGTTACACATTATAAAATACTGCAATAACTGAGCTTTAAGGTACAAATCCAATCATTTAGGGCGTGCAGGTGGCGCAGTGGTTAGCATGCACAACCCATGTACAGATGAAGGCTGTATGTGGGCGACCCAGGTTTGCATCTGGCCTGTGGTCCTTTCTTGCATGTCTCTCCTTCTCTCTCATACCCCTTTTCCTGTCAGCCTACTGTCGAAAAAACAAGCCACTAGTGCCGTAAAAAATAAAAATAAAAATCCAATCATTTAAATCTTTTATGAGAAATGTTGGAGGGGATTTAAGTTACAGAATAGAATATAAAAATGTCACACAACATTTGCTTAATCTAAACATTAAACATTGACCATAAAATAGTGGAAATACTAGCAGGGCCTTGAAAAACTGTAAAACTTCATCTAACGGGGGTTTCTAATGTCACAGTGGTGTAAATCTTACCAACTTTGGTCCACTCCTATCAAGGTTAGTCAAATTGGATGGAGATAACCTTTTAATTGGATTTTTGTCTGGATCTTTAACTGGGTGATTCTAAAACACAGATGTGCTTTCATCTGGTTGTATGTTTGAGGTAACTGTCATGACGGATTGTCTCCGTCTATTGACCAATCAACTCTATATTTCCAGTCCTTGATGAAGGCAGTTACCCCCACAGCATGATTCTGTCACCATGATTCTGTTTAGCTCAGAGTGAAAAAAAAAGTTCAGTTTTGTTTTTTACCTGACCAAATAAGTATTTTGCACCTTTCAAATGATCAGATAGTTAAATAGGTTTGCAGACCAACACCTTCACATGGACAACAGCTGTGATTTGGCTTTTTCTGCTTGACTTTGAGTCCCTGAACTCTCCAGTGAGAGTTAACATA